CAGTCTTTCGACTTCCAGGGGTCCTGAAATGGAGGGAGAGATGATTGGAATCGAATTAGGCCCCGAATTTTAACATTGGATCAACACAAACAGGCGAAACCCAAAACCCGAAACCCAATGAAAAATTATGGAACATCCGTATTTTGGGTATCTATGTGATGATGGTGCACAATAAAAATGGTGCTTTAGACCGGTCGATTTCATCCACGGCAGCCAGGCCCTCGGTGCTTTTCCCCAGCTCCCTCCGCCCCTTGCCCACCGCCTCCGAGCCTGCTCCGAGGCAGGACAACTCTTCGAGGCCGACGGGGCCGAGTTGGAGGAGGCCGAGTCCTTCCACCGCGAGGAGCTGCCGATGCTCTTCCCCACCGGCGCGCCCGAGGCGGAGAGCGGTCCCGGCTGTCGCATGGTCCGACGCGGTGGTCGCGCGGTTACCGTGTGTTTGAGTGGGCTCGGGAGTGATTTGGAGTGTAAACCAAAGAATTTGGACAAAGAATGTGAGCTAATGGGTTGCTCGGGATTGGCTATTAAAGACGAGGGTGAGGGTGGGCCCAGAGGCTGCCACCAGGTGCCACAGATCCCGTGGTCAAGTCGCCGAATAAGGTAGACTCTTGATGGACTAGAACTCTCCCCAGTCATGGGTTAGTGAAGCCTCTCCATGTTTATGGAACTATGTCAGACTCTTTCATATACATACCAGTCGCATCCACCAGGTCACCAATGGACAACCCGTACTTCTACAGGTAGACAGGGGCACCCAGACAGGCAGTGCTCTAGGTGTATATGGAGGCCGAACTGAGAGGATCCATCCAGTCACATCCGAAGCGCCCCACGGAACGCCGCCCACGCCCCGCCACGCCCCGAACCCCCGGTCGACCTCCCGGACCGCCCCCCCCACGCGCGCGGACGCGCCATTCGGCCGGCGCGCCCAGATCGAGCTGGCGGACGCCGAAGCCTTGGGTCCCGGAGCAGCTCGGCGATGGGACGGGGGGGGAAGTTGGCTCAAGCCTCGAGGGAGGAGGACGTGTTCAACGTGGGGTGGCTGGGGAATGGAAGTGGTTATAAGGTGTTTTTCATTGTTTTTCGCTGCGCAGTGGATGGAAGGCATAGCGATAAGTTTAAAAGATAAATAAAGTTGGTCTTTGTTTTTTTTTGGTCAGTTGATTCGATCAGACTGAAACTGAGGAAGCAGGGGGGAGCTTTTCACCGAAAGCATGTTAGAAAAGTCGGCTGCAAGTTTTACATGTTGTCCGGGATCATGTTTGAATAGATCACCATGGGATGAGGCCTCATTTTTTTAATCCATAATCCAGGAGTCACAAAGGGGTGGTGTTTAGTCCCCAAGTGAGTGGATAATGGGCACCCCTAACCTCCATTAAGCACCCTTTGTGACCGCTGGATGGAACATAATGTTGGATTTGTTTGTTCTGGTGGTGGCATTGCGGCTTTTGGCTTTCAGCTGTGCCCATAGTCCTTACATATCTCTGGAGTCGTTTTCAGCCCAAGTCACATAGCAACCGCTGAATAGATTCCTTAACAAGGGGGCTCCTTGTCGTGCTTCATGGTTCTCCACTAGAACATCCTAGAAGCTGGAAAACGTCAATCAATCCATCAATATACCTAGATCTTCCAACTGTGCAACATTTATGCCTGTTGGTTGATTTCATGGATGAACCGGCTGGAAATTCAGCACCAGTTGGAAGATCCAAGGTATCTCTCATGGCTCTTTCATGCACGGGCCGCCCTTGTTCTTGTCTTTTTTCTTCCACCGCTCGGTTCACCGGGGTCCGGACCGAGCAGGATGGCTACGCCTTCACGGGGCACCTCGACCTCTTCAACATCGCGGGCTTCTGACTGAATCGGCGACCCACCGAAACTCGGTGTGGCGCTCGGTGGCGCTCGATGGAAAGGTACCAACAGAGGTATCCAGTGACCCTTTTCATAGGATCCGGAAAACCTAGGGTATACCGGTTCCTGGGATAGTCGAAGAGTCGGGTTCTGACCCACCTCTGTTGGTATAGAGAAAGATGGGGAATCCGAAGGCCTCCTCGCAGGATGCTCCCAGCTTCAGAATCGAACGGATCCGTGGCGGTCGCCGAAGGAATCACACCCCGGCGGTCATCCGTGTCTCGGGCGGCTTTCGGCTTGACCCCCGCACGCACCAAAGGGACGGCGCCCCATTTGTGGACGCCAATGATGCGAGACCCATAGGCCCGCGCCAAAGATCCTGCGCGTGGCGGAAGTCGAGGGCGCCGAAAAAGGAGAGCGCCGCGCCGGCGCGCCGGTGAGAGGGGAAGGGTTTGCCCTAGGCTTCCTGGCCAACCATTGGTTTTAATGGTCTTTACGGAACCACACCATTATTTTACTAAGGATTTTACACTACGCAACCAGAGTCAACCGAACTCTTTGAATGGTCTTACGGAAGCCTAGGGTTGGGGTTTTGGTTCAACTGGCCACGGGAATCCATGCGAGACGCTGGACGCTGGCCGAGGGCAGAGATGACCACAAACGTGGGGAGATGACAACCCGCTTGGAGGATTCCATGCTGCAAAAGTTGCAAACACCTTCTGTTACAAGGGGTTGTTTGATGCACCAAAGAATCTTAAAGAGAGGTCATCATTGGCCATCCCAGCTGGATTTATGTCTCATGTGTTCTCATGCCATGCACCATGCACAGCACAACCTTCACAATAAACCGAAACAATCTGCGCATCTGCCCATCTTCTCCGCTGCTTTTACCAGTGCCTCGTCAGGTTGGAGTCCTCTGGTGCATACGGTGCAAGAAATCAGAATGACCTTATAAATCGAATGACTCGAATAAACAACCCCATGGTGTAAATATACTGCCCCGCCTGAAAAAGACAGTGGCATCACCAGAAGGCCTTTGGCAGCACATTCTCCAACTATACCCAATCAGGTGAACCCCCTTCGGTTGGGGGCCAATTGTTCGAACAAGCTTCTCCAAGGAGTTATGTTTTGGCTTCTTCACCCTTTCCTCAGTTGGGATCCACGTCATCAAGTATAGAATCAACCTCCCAGAGTCGCAAGTTTCGGCTTCACCAGCCATGACTTCACTCATCAGCTTCCCAGCCCTTCACACTTCAGCCCTTCAGCTTGCTCCATGGCCTTTCAGCGGAGCTCCGGGCCTCACCGCGGGGTGACCTGATGCAGGTGCGGAGACTCGGAGACCATCTGCGAGACTCGGAGACTCTGAGGTCACGAACTGAAGGTCCTGGAAGTCCATAAGCCAATCATCCTCAGACGCGACCCATGGGACTGGAAGATAAGGCCGATCAATAGACCCCAGGTCAACCACCCCTGTCTGTGTGCAAATATGGTATACATATGGAGTTTCTGGGCATAATCAGAACAAGTGGAGTCAGTTGAGACTCGGAACAAGTGGTCAACTCAGCGGCCACTGGTTCAGAGGTGCTGGCTTTTGTTCCCCGCTTCTTCACTCTGGGCACTTGGCAATCTTCGATTCAACCCACCACTTGAAGATCGAAACAACCAACAGAGCTTGAAGAACCCTATAATAATTCGACTCTCCCAGGAACCGGTACCCCAGGTTTTCCGGGTCCTAATTATTTACGGTCACTGGATACCTTATGTTGGAACGCTTCTTCTCTCCGATCTAAACCGGACCGCCAGTGTTGATCTTGCACTCCAGCTCCGCCGCTCCGCCGCTCGCCTCCGGCGCTCTCCCGGCGTCGTCCGCGGTGTCTCCCGAGCCAGGCGCTGCTTCGAGGTGCTCGGCCGCACCGGGCGACCGGAGCTCTTCTTCGAGGCCGCGGTGGGGTGGTGCGGAGGGGCGGAGTGGGTGCAGAAGAGGCATGAAGAGACCCTCCCAGACCCTGGGGTGTGCTGGAGCAGCCAGCCCACTACACTACTGCGATCGCCGTCGAAGAAGCAGGTCTGGATGGATCCAGCGATCGTTGGAGAAGGAACCCAATCTGTGCAGAGAAGCCGAGGACATCCTCTTGACCTTCCAACAGAGGTATCCAGTGACCTTATAATTAGGACCCGGAAAACCTGGGGTACCGGTTCCTGAAATAGTCGAACTAGGGTTCTTCAACCTCTGTTGGTTCTTTTTTGGGGAGCAGCATTGAATTCATGAACACCCCCTAGGGCTCCAACCACCTCCTGAGAAGATGGTTGGGGTGGGTTTGGGGGGTCTAACCACCTTCTGAGGATATGGTTGGAGCCCTAGGGATCATCTGTCAGCAACGAGCCCCGAGCCCTTCTGGGACCAGGACCGTTCCTGGCTGGTTTCGCCTCGCCGAAGGCACTGCGCTGTGGATCGACACCCCGACGGACCGGGGATGAACATGTTCTCGGTCACCACGCGGTGTTCAAGAGAATCAACTGAGAACCTGGTGCACGAACCAAGCCGTTGCTTTCGCCAAGGCCGACTGACTCGCCTCCCGAGGGGCTTTTTCTCAACGTGCGGCAGCCCAGCATCGTACCAAGGTGTGAGGGGCATTTAGCATGGCGCTACGCGGCGTCGCATGGCTTTTGTCATTGCTATTTCAGTTGACTTCTTAGAAATACAAAGCTTGTAGATTCACTCGGTGACTTTTTGAATTGAACTCTCCAATGTATTGAGAGTAGCTGAGTGGTTCCGCGATGTTCAGTGGGTATAGGATGTAAGCGGGCTGGCTCGCGGAGCCACTCCAGGCTCTTCAAAGTGACCTTTTCATTCCCGGGTTTGAGGTCACTTGGACCTGTCAAGGCCACTCAAGGCACGAAGCCCACTAAGGGAACGAAGAGAACACGAAGCCTCGATCCTTTCCTATCCAACTCATCCCACACCAGACCTCCTATAAGGGGTGGTGAATGGGACACCCCGAAGCACCAAAGAAGCACCTCGGGGCTATCGATGGACACCCCGAATCGACCTCCGTGGCATACACTGCATCCGGGAATCCGGCTGCAGTGAAAGCCGCTGCCCGCTCTGGGCTCGAGCTGGGCAACCTGCACCACGTTACGATTCGATTCGCAGCATGACGACGCAGTGGCGATGGTGGATGCTGGGTGTGCCAACGGACGCTGGGTTGGAGCAAGTGCGGGGGTGGCGGAGGGTGTAGGGCTGCAAGTGATCCCTCCTGGCACCCCAAGTACCTTCTCAGAAGGTGCTTGGAGCCCTATGGGTTGTTTTTCACGAAGCTGAGCTGATCCCAGATTTGACGCTCGGAATAATCATGAATCATGGAAGTGAATGCCGTGCCTGTAGAGGTCTTGCTTTTACAGCCCAGCTTGGAGCGGAACCTCCTGTGGAACTCCCCCCCCGGGCAAATGAGCGGCAAACCGAACCCGACAATTCGTGACCCACCCATTGATCTAATGGACTCTTACTGAACAACCATCGTTTCTTTATAAAGGTCTGAGACTACAACACCAGGTCAACCATTTCTTTTTCGTCGACCCGAAGGCGGCTTTGAGGGGGGGACCCCATGCCCATGTCCAGCTCTTCGGCTTTTTACAGCAACTCCAGAGCCTCGGCCTCTGCCATGGCGGCCGGAGCTCGTCGCCGCGTGAGCTCCGCGGCCTCTCCGAGGCAGTGGCTTTGGAGAACGGCCTGGCTTTAACGCCTCCCATGGGATGGATGACCTGGCAGCGCGCCTAGGACCGAGGAGAGGTTTCCAAACGCGCAAGGAGAGCGCGAGGAGATGGGGGCGAACACGAGAAACCAAGCGAAGAACGCGAGCATCAGTACTTCGATTGAGAAGAACATATATAGGCCTGCAAGAACTGGGAAAAGCAATCACAAAAAAACAGAATACACCGACCTGTGCAAATACTTACTGAGATTCTGCCCTTGCTCTTTGCTGCAGGATTTCTGCGAGCATGGGGCCTTTTGGTGTGGGAAGCGATTTCCAGAAGATTCAAGAACCCTCCCTGGAGGCCCCCAAGGTCAACTAAGCAGTTCAAGCACGACAGAACATGACAGAACCTACCCAAACTCCATCCGTCGTGTCACGTCTTCTTCTTCCTGCCCTTGGCTTGGTCGCGCCCTTTCGCACCGGACGGCCGCGGAACCCCTTTTCACGACGGACACCGAACCGGTGCCCGAGGCTACCGCTGTAACATGGACTGTGACAGCGATCCCAGCACCTGCATCAACGAGCAGTTGATCAAAGAGATGGCCGATCGCATGGCCGAGGCCGCGCGCGGCGAACGGTCGCCGGTGCGTGGATATTTCTGCGTGGCGGTTCCCATCTCCGGGCGAGAGGGGTGCCGCTTTTGGGGGGGGGGTTTGGTCCATGTGTTTGGCGGGCGGTGGCGGTGGAGACTTAGGAGAAGAAACATGAAACAGAGAAGACAAAGGTTTGGATCCATGCTAGGGCTGTTGGATCATTGCCTGTTACTACTATAAGAAGGGGATACCCGATACCCCATGGTTATGTACAAGCACTAGGTGCTATGGTTCCAAACGGACCTCTAGGCTCCAAAGCGCCATCATGGCCAGCAAAAAACCATGGTCGGTTCCGGGTGTTTTTCAACGGTTCCACAGGGCCGTGCACTCGACAGGTCGACCCCCCACAGAGGTTGAAGAACCCTAGGTTCGACGAGCCCCAGACACGACCTGTCTGGGACTGCCAGCCATAGGACTGCCCGCCCCAGACAGACCTGGCACCACCCCGGGCGTTTCTCAGCATAGAGATGGCAGTCCCATGATTGGGCAAAATCAAGGTTCACGGGTCGTGACCTCCGTTGCTTCTCCGACGTGGCCCAGTTCGCGAGGGGCAGTCTTTCTCCGAAAAAACCACGTGGACTCGCTGGAGTCCTCCAATTCCGTCCCCATACGTGTGGTGAACCCTTCTATTTTCCAGGCAATCAGTATACGGAAAACATATATATAGGCAAACGTATACCAGGCTAGCTTGACAATTAGGATATTATATATTTTTTTGCTGTTTTGTCAATTCCCCCGCCACGCCGCAAGAGCTGCCTCTCCGGCTCAGCTAGTTGGCGTCTTCAACATCTTCACAGAGATCCAGGCAGGGACCCTTCAAGCACATAGATCAACCTGTAGGAGAACACTAAAGGTAAATTAGATCATTGAAGGGTCCATTTGTCCGACTGAAGGGTTTTGGTTTTTTAGGCTTGTATTGTTAACTGTTGATCATTGCTGGCAGGCTCTTGTCCTCCTTTCTTCGGAAGCCTCTTCACTTTGGGAAGGCGAGGTCTGGGGACCTGACCAGGGTATCTGAGGAAGCAGTCTTGCATTTAGGGCCGCTCCTTGCATTTGATGGGTACCACCTGTGATGGCAAGGGTGAGCCGTGCTTTTGTTGGCAGCATTTTTGGCTCTGCGGTTCTTCGGTTCCGCGGTTCTTCGGTTCCGTGGTTCTTCGGTTGCGCGGTGCACTCCATGGCCGACCCAGCAGCAGCAGAAGTTGAGGTTGACGTTGAGGCGGCTCCTGAGGGTGGTGTTCCCGAAGCCCTTCAGCAGATGGCCGATTTGCTGGAGGCAGCTGAAGACCCTGTGCCTGAAGATTTGGGTGCCCAGGCCGGCAAACTTTTTGGGCTCAGTGGTTCCCCCTGCCTAAGCAGTCCCATTGTCACACAGGCTCCTACCTGAAAACCATGCCTGGGTTGCCGAGGCACAAAGCCTGCGGGAAGCAAGGTGGCTTTCTGCCAAGGAGCGTGGCTACCCCGACTCAAGGAAGGAGTCCAAGTGGCGTGAAAGGCACGCTCTGTGGTGCGAAGCCAACAATGTCAACGTCAACTCAACCAGGCTTGTGGGTCCTTGCCCTGACGACCTGTTTCTTCATCTTCCCCGAGAGAGGGATTTGTGGACCAAGTTGATGTTGAATTGCCAGCAGCCTGCTCATGCTGTGGCGGACATATCCCAAAGCTTGGACAGAGTGAAGGTTAGGCATTCTGTTTTGCCAACTATCACTCCTGGTGGCCATGTCATTGTGGGTGAGGTGAAGCGTGCTTTGGCCCCTTTGGAGAAGCTGCTCATCCATGGTTTGCCACTGCATCGTATGGAGCTGCCAGATTCGATTTCAAGTGCAGAGTGGGAATCTATGGGAGGCAACATGATGCACCTTCAAACAGTTGGGTTTGCTTGCTTGCTTGCTCTGAGCTTGGTGGACTGGCAGGGCACCAAGTACTGTGAATGGGCCAAGCATGGACCGCAGGGGCAGAGGGGCGGCGCCGGCTCCAGCAGCATTGCAACCCATCCAAAAGCACGATCAGCCGCAGAAAAAAGGCGTGAGGACAAGCTTCGGGCTCGTTTTGGCTTAATTCGATCTCCCCAGGGTGTGCGGCGCTTGGCCAATCCCCAGTGCAAAAGGACCAAGAAGAATCAGCAGAAGCAAAGGCGGTTGCCAAAGCACGTTGCTAGCTTGTGTGGAACACGCTGGGCTAGTTAGCGGTGCTGCGGTTCTGCGGTCCTTGTTTTATGAAAGCAAGCAAATTGACACAATTAATTCAAACAGCCAGATTGGATGCACTGTGCTAGCAGAAATTCAGAAAGCTGCTTCTGTCATGTTTCGCTGTGGGTTTTGCCATGTTTTGGGCTTGGGTTTTGCCTTGTTTTTTGCTAGAAATCAAGTGGTAGGTGTTTCGCCCTGCTTTGGCAGCCGAAACTGCATTGTCATTGTCATTCACATCTGTGATTGCAGGCTGCAGCAATGCTATATTGCTACGGACTTGGCCTGTGCGTTGCTTCGCGACAAGATGTGGAGACACCGACGCGCGGCTCTTGGAAATTGAGCGATTTCCTTTGGTTCCGTCCTGCAGCCAAGACGCGCAGTTTCAGGATCCACTTGACTGATGATTTGGCCTTGAGCCTCGTCAGGCACAAGTCACTTTGATTTTTTTCCCTCTATAGACTAAGACCTTGCTTGTTGAGCCTATTCACTAATTTAATAATCCTGGTGAGCCAGGTCTTTGGCAGTTTCATCAGCCTTCAAGACTTGTGCAAAATTGCCTGGTTCACACTGGGAAGTAACAGTGGGTGGGTCTGTGGGAGAGCCAGCCTCCCGGAAGAAGGTGCCCTTGAAGAAGCTAGCGACTCTAAGAGACCTAGTCTCTTTCTTGCGCGCCATCCGTTCATTGAGACGGTCACGGGGTGTTTGTGGCAAATTCATGCGAGCTGGTCAATGAGTTGCACCAGCACTGTGTATAGAGAGGGAATCGCCTGATGGCTCACACACTGCTTTTTGACTTCGCTCAGCGGGTTTGATAAAACAGTGCCAATTGGAATACACTTACAGTTTTTAAAAACCAGGGGTGTAATGACTAGAGGATTTCCGTAGTGAATTCACAAACTCAGGTCCCAGCCATCGCCAGTGGGGTCTTCCATCGGCTTTCACTTCCGCTTTTTAAAAACCATTGGTGTATTGAAAGGTTTTTTTCTATGTCAATTCACTCCTTTTCCTTTCAGAATACGCTCCTGGTTCGCAAAAACCGCGGCTTGTTGCAATCCAAGGGTGGATTGATTGATGTAAAGGTTTTTGCATTGCAAGGGTCAGCTGTCAATCCAAGGGTGCTCCATTGCTTTTAAGGGTTGAGTCATTGATTCTAAGGGTCGTGTTAGTTTAGAGCATTGTTCTCATGTGTTGGTGTAGTTTCCAGCAGCCTACGCAGTGTTGGTCAACCTTCTTCTGGGTTTCCATTGTTCTTGACATTGACCTCGGCTTGCCAGGCTGAAGATGCCGCCAGGGCCCAAGCCCATGCCAGCCCGCAAAGCCGGACTGGGTTCATGCGCCATGCGACGCATGCAAGTTAAGTGAATAAGCATCGCCCTTACAACAGCCAGTTCACCTTTCCATGCAGTCGTTTTTGCCGAGTGCGCGTCTAAGGGTCCAAATATGAGACTGAAGGGTGTTTTTTCTCGGTTGTCACAAGTGGTTCAGAAGTTCTGCGGTTCCTTTTGGCGCCTCCTTCCCTGCCATGCCCGTGCTGCCATTCCGCCTGAGAGGGAAGCAACCCTGGCCCCAGCGAACAAGCCCACTCAAGGCCAAGAAAGCTGCAATGAAGACTAAGAATCAGAAGCTAACAGGTCGTGCCATTGGTGTTTCTGAAGGCATTGTGCCCAAGGCAAGAAAGCCTTTTGCCTTGTTTGTGCAAGAGAGGAGCAAGCTAGGGAAGGGTGCTAGCCGTGAAGATTTTGCTGCTGAGATGCGTGGCCTTGGCGCTTCTTGGAAAGCTTTGTCTGACGAAGCCAAAGAGGCTTACAAGTCCAAGTCAGCCCTAGAGTTTAGACAGCAGCGGAATTCAATGCGGCTGCACATTTCTCAGAAGCCACCCAGCTGCCATGGTTCGGAAGACAAGAAAGCTGTGGACTCCATTGAGAAGCTTGGTGCTTACAAAATACTTCAGCAAGATGGTCAGGAGCACAGCTGGCAGCTGGGGGAGGGTTCCTATGGCTCGGTTCTGATGGCTGTGGATGACAAAGGACGAAGGTGTGCACTCAAGATCTTTAAAGGCAAGCATGCTGCAGAGTGCTTAGAACACGAGGCTTCAATGAACTCCCTTGTGCAGACCCGTGCGAAGCCCTGTGACCTGCAGTGGTTCCCACAGCTGTACTTTTCTCAGGTCATCAGGAGGCCGTTCCCATACTTGGCCTTTGAGTACTGCGGCTCCAGCTTGCAGGCAGTCCTTTTGCAAGGACCATTGGAGCCTCAAGCCATACCCATCATCGCTTTGCAGTTGAAGTCTGCGCTGTGTGTGCTTCATCGCCATGATGTGGTGCATTTAGATGTCAAGCCCTCCAACATTTTGTGGAGTGCAGACACTTTTCAAGCCAAGCTTGGTGATTTCGGGATGTCTGAATGCACCAAGCAGCCAAGCTTGAAGCTGGTGAATTACGTGACTGCGCTTTACCGGCCCCCTGAGCTGTGGGATGTGTCTCTTCGTGATCTCGCCTACCACTTGGTGGCTGCTGTGGATGTGTGGTCCTACGGGTGTGTGATGTATGAGTGCTCAACTGCACGCCCCCTCATGCTGCCCATGCATGGAAACGGTAGTCCTAGGCACACTGTGCAAGTGTGGTGCCGAGATTGGCAAAGCCTAGGCCGTTCCAGTCTCAGGCAAGTTTACCCAGGCAATGATGCACGGCGTTTGCACTGCCGCCTTTTGCGAGCAGGTTGCCTGGCGCCCAAGGTTTTGCGCGCTCTTCAACCAAATCCTTCAAAGAGGGACTATGGCTTCTGCTGAATGCAGGTAGCCAAGGAACTAGCAAAGTGGGGTTTGTCTCACAATGCAGTGGGGTGCATGTGAGTAGGGGGTTGGATTGCTCTGCACTGCGGTTCTGCGGTCCTACCATCCACGGTGATGCAGCTGCAGGCAGAGATTTCGCAGGGTCCAGAATAAAAGAATGCGCTCGCGTCCATGTTTGCGCGGACGCATTGGTTGCTTCCCAGACAGCTGACGAAATGTTTGAAGATTGAGATTTCTATCCTTCTAAGATGAGGCTTTAACACGCTGAGTCTTTATATCAAGATGCTTGACGCACTAAGATCCGCCTGTCGTGCCCAGGTCACCCATGCGGCGCTGTGGTTCTCCGACGCATCTGCGAGATATACAAAGGGGCGAGAGTGACAGAGCCGGGCGGATGCCCAAAATATATCAAAATATACCCAGATCCCTTAATATTTTTCGGGACCATTGAATTGTCAACCTAGCAGGATCATCCTGTTTGGGTGTCCTGGCCAGACTACCCTATACCCTACACGTAAACAGGTCTCCAGACAGGGCACCCGGACAGGAAGTGCTACCGCGCCGAACAGAGCATGCCATCCAACACGTGAACCCTTTTCGCTTGCAGCCTGTCCCTCAGCCCCATTTTGCCGTTCCATGCGAGGATGGTTGGCTGGAGGCGGGCTACCGCTATGTGAGCATCGACGATTGCTGGATGACCAAGGAGCGTGATGCCCAGGGTCGCCAGGCCGGTCGACCCCTAAAGGAGAAGCGACGTGAATGGAATGCAAGGATGTCCTGGGGTGTAAGAAGAGACAGCGAGTCTATATTATATATACCCCAGCGCATCCAGTTACCACTATAGCTGGCAACCAGTGGTTCCAAAGACTAAAAACATAGACCTAGAATCCCTGGTTCCTTATGTAGTGGTAACTGGGATGCACTGGGTACTGTAAGAAGTCGACTGAGGACAGGAGCTCCGAGCTCCGAGCTCAGCGAGTCGCGCGTCGCGACTTTCAGCGAATCCCCAACCTCCGACTCTAGGATCTCACCTATTCTGACTACTTGGAGCCTCAAAGTACCTCAGAACATGGGCACAGTCGAACCTGTTTTTATCGGGCCATGGGCCATGTCGCATTTTCTAGTACTGGGTCAGTCGGGTCCAGGTACCCCAAAACCACCCGGACTGGAACAGCTGCGGCGAAAACCACCCCAGCCCGATCGGTCCTGGCGCCAGTCCGGAGGGTCTGACTAGCTGCTACACCGCTACGCCACCACCCTGGGGAGTCCTCCTGCGGGGTCCGGCAGGGTGGTATGTCCATCCGCACTGTTCAGATCGCAGCACGCTGGTCAACGTTTTCGAGGCAACAGCCATGACAGCATGCCAACAAACATGCCCAACACAAAGGCCATACAACAAACGCAACACAACCATGTATAAAGCAACAGCCATGACTGGGATCCACTGGTAGACTGGATATATGGCCGTGGTAAGTTGGGCGACTCAAGGTCGCCGTCTTACAACTGTGTGCCTCCTCAAGTCGTTGTTGTTCTTTGAACGAAGTGATTTTGGGCATCGATGCAACCTGAATGACCTCTATGTTTGACCGCCCACCACCCCAAAGCATTGGTCCCTTTTTCATGGTCCCTTTTCCTATCACACTACCAACAGAGGTTGAAGAACCCTAGTTCGGCTATCCCAGTTCGGTACCCTGGTAGGGTCCTATTTACGGTCACTTCACCGCTGTTGGCTATATAGTTGGATCAAAAGCATGGCTTTAGGCGCTGGACAACCTCAAATCGGTGCCCCACATCCACCCATGTTCCGAAGGGAGCGAGCGCTGGACGCTTCCTCTGCCACTGGGCCTTGAGTTGACCCCTGCCCCGCACGCCGAGCTCGGCCGCCGGGAGACACGCCTTGCGCCTTGCTCGGAGCGCTGCAGGTCGCTGACCCCAAGCGATTTCCTTCGGGGATGGCGGCCTTGGGCTCCGTGGAGATGAAGGAGGAGGTGGGTGGAACTTCTTATGCCCTAGGCTTCCAACCACCCAGATGTTCAGGGGTTTGTGCCCCCCAATTCGCCATACACACAGGTCGTTGCCCTTTTGGTGTAATGGTTTGTTGGAAGGCTTAGGCTACAGTATGGACTGCGGACGCCGCACGCGGACGACCACGACGGCCACCGGGACGGGAGGGGGGTTCTTGGGCGCCGGTGCACGTCCCAACAGAGGTGGGTCAGGACCCGACTCTTCGACTCTCCCCAGGAACCGGTACCCCAGGTTTTCCGGGTTCGAATGATTTACGGTCACATCGGATACCTCATGTTGGTCCCGCCCGGTCCGGACCTGCCGAGGTGACTACATCCATGGGACGCCTGGAGCGCGAACGCTCGCGCCTTCCGGGTCGAGAGCGACCGGTCGAAGAGAGTCGAGAGGAGTCCCCCTGGTTGAGGAGAGGCGATTCATGGCACGGTGTAATGCGGTAAGAGTAGATGAGTGGCCGGTTTGAGAGGAAGGAGTGATCATAGTCGGTTGGTGGGTTGGTGCTCCAACATGATTAAGTAATTTTGATGTTAGCACCAGGACCAACACTTATAAGAGATCTACAAAATCGCCTCTAGCTGTTGGAAGGTCCTGGTATAGATGGTCGTAGGACACTGTAGGGTTCCAAGTACCGGTCGAACCTCTCTCAGGTTTGGCCTAGAATGGTTGAGGTCTGTGCCCCAGACAGCCATTCCTGTTGATGAATTGGTTGATGAATCACCGGAGACCATCGAAGCTGCCAGGGGGGTATCATTATGACATGAATTCATATCCCAGACACGATTTAATGGGACTGGCCATATATGCCGATCAGGCCAGGGGTGGTGCCAGGGGGGTCAATTGATCGGCATATATGGCAGTCCCATGGAGTGTGTGGGATATGAATTCCATCCGCATCAGCTCACTTAAATTTCCAACCTTTTGTTGCGGTCCACGTTCTCTTTTTCGAAGAAACCGTGCCTGCCTGACATATACTATATATTTTGATCCAGCTCGCTCCAAACAGGGCTGACTGAAGACCTGATGGACGTAGTGGATTGTGTATGACCAGCCTTAGTAAAGTACAACATGAGGTCCAACTGTTTCCATATGATTCAATTTGCATGACACTTTCAACTTCAATTTCTGGAAGGGGCAGCCAAGGATACCCGCCAAACGCCGGTCGGAACCCCGCAGACCGAGCCTGGCTCACGAAAACACTTCGCCACGCCCAGGAAGGGCTTGAAGTTCGCCACCTACGGCGACATCGGCGCGAAGACGTGCCAAGGCTTTACCGGTTTCCAAGGCCACTTCGAGCAGGACGGGCCCGCGCCACCGCGGACGGAGCTGGCCGGTGGTAGACCCGGACCGTCCGACCGCCGGGTCGGGATCCGCCGGACCTTAGGTTCGGGACGACCTGGCGAATTTGGGGCCTTTCTTTTCATCATCTCCTTCCTCACCGTAGCTGAGGCGGTACTTGGATCGAGACGGTACTCGGAGAGTAGTGCTTGAAAAATGGGGTCGTCCAGTCCAGCCGTCGCACACTCTAGACAGGACAGTCTTGGTAGGACTTCTTCCTTCTTCCTTCGCGGTCCGCCTCGTGGTTTAGGGAACCCCCCACAGCTCCCCCGTTCGCTCCTCCGCGGGATCCGCGAGAGGAAGGCGGAAGACGGGAAGACGGGCGCGGGATCCGACGGGACGGTTTTGCGGGTCAGACGGTAGGATGCGCAGACCTTTGCGGAGTGGAAGGTGGACTACTTGAAGGTGGATGGATGCTTCGAGTCGCCCAAGGACCCGACCGTCCCGGGGTTCCCGGGCACCGTGGGGCCAAGCAAAAGCATGGGGCCAAACAAAAGCATGACGCATGACAAAGACCATGGTTTTCACAGACCAACAACCATGGTGTTTTTTGCTAGGGAAAAGCCGGTGTTTTTGATGGTTTGTGGGGTTTGTGGTTGGGGGGAGGGAGGTTTGGGAGGCGACAGGGGGCCGATCCCTATACCAGGACCCTTATAGGAGTTGGGTTCGACACCCCGAATCACCTCTTTTCGGGGCTATATGGGTTCGACATCCCCTGGATCACCGTGCGCCAATAGAGCTTGTTCTTTTGGGGGGGGAAGTGGGGACACCACCCTGCACTAAGCAAGAACAGGGTAGAATAAAGGTGAACCAATTCGGTGAACCTTCAGTTTCAACTGAAGGAATCCCTAGTGGTGGCGCCCGTTCGTTGAGGTCTGGACGCATGGCCCCCCAGCTCCTTCGACTCGAGAGAGCCGGGGGCGAGTGGCGCCCGCCTGTCCGAGACTTCGAAGCGGTCGCCCGGTTCGACCCGCAGCGCGGCTCAAGCCGAGAGCCGTTCCTGTTTTCCTTCCAAGAGAGGTGGAGGTGAAAGTGTCTGTAAGTAGGACCCGGAAAACCTGGGGTACCGGTTCCTGGCAGAGTCGTCTAGTTGGGGCTCTGAAAAACTACTGTTGCTTTCTTTCTTCTGAAGCTTCGATGATGCTGGTTGTTGCCGTGTCTGGCAACACAGTTGCTCAGCTTGAGGAGGAGGAGCTGCGCCACATGGTGGAACAGAGGAAAACTGTTCGGGACCTAAAGCGACTTCTTTCAGCTCAGGTTGGGTGCTCTAGGTTTCGGCTAAGACTCATCAGTGATGACATGGGCGAATTGAGGGATGACTTGCCTTTGCAACCGCTACCGCGTGTACAGCTAGTTATCATACCCTTTTGTGCTCCTGATGAGATGATGCATCTAGAACTTTTGCGGAGCTGCCAGGAAAATTGTGTGGCACATATTGAAAAGCTGCTTCAAAGACCACAGGACCCGAAATATGGGAGAAGACGAGCTCTCCCTGTTGCCGCCCAGGAAGGCAACTTGGAAGTTGTTCGATTGTTGCTTGAGGCTGAAGCTGACAAAGATGCCGCCGCAAGGACAGATGGGGAAGCAGCTTTGGACAAGGCAGCTGAGAATGGCCACGTGGAAGTGGTTCGATTGCTGCTGGAGTCTGCAGCAGCGACAGAACGGGTAACGGCCACTCCGTTGTATTGTGCAGCCGTGAATCGCCATGTGGAAATTGTGCAATTGTTGCTGGAGGCTGACAAAGATGCAGCCTTGACAAGGGGGGCAATGGCGTTGTATTATGCAGCCCTGTTTGGTGACTTGGAAGTCGCGCGATTGTTGCTGGAGGGTGGGGCTGACAAAGATGCAGTATTTAGAGGTGGGGAAACGGCTGTGCACATTGCAGCCCAGCAAGGCCACTTGGAAGTCGTGCGATTGTTGCTGGAGGCTGGAGCTGAC